CAGAGGACTAGAGTGGAGAGTGAAGCATCCAGCTGATAAGAAGAGAGGGCATATGCACAAGAACACCCACACTTGCAGATAATACCCACTTGACCTGGCGTCAATGACTGGATGATCAGAGATCAACTAGAAGAAGAAAGAAGAGGAAAAAAAGAATAATCTGATACAATTTGATGAACTTGATCTACACCTATGGAAGCAGTAGCTCAAAAGAGGGAACAAATCTTCACAGTGAGGATCATTCCCACCCCCTCCGCACATGGAGAGGACAGGGATGGGCAACTTGGACATTGGCTACCCAGAATGGGCGGGGGGTGGGGGCGCCTACAGAGGCAAGAAGTGACTGGCTTACAAGCTTTCTAGAAGGAACCTAGATCCAGAGGGCACAGAGGAGGGTAGAATCTCCACTGAGTAGTATCCAATCTGTGTAGGCAGGGCTGCTAAAAGGAGATGCGAATAGGTCTTGTGATACAATAGTGAATAATTGTTATCAGGACTGATTGTAAGGGCTGGAAATGTAAAGGTAGACATTCTGTGGCAAAGGAAGGGGAGTGATTAACTTTGCGGTCTAGGAGCATAGGTCCCTGGGAACATCAAGGGAGAAGAGAGGAGAATGGAATCCTACCCAGAGAAGCCGTGACGCCAGAGATGAAGGAAGAGATGGAGCAGCTGGGGACTTTGGACCTGGAGAGGGAGAGGGGCTGTATGCTGACAACCAGGGGGCAGGCCTGCGGGGTATACTCTGTGGTTGGTGGATGATGCATGGTGGGGACTGTTACCATGGCAAGGAAATGATATACGATGGGATCAGTGTGAAGTTAATGTTCTCCCATGTAAACTATCACGTAACTTACTATAAAGCATTAAAAATTTTTTAAAGCTAAAGTGAAAAAAAAAAAATACAACTGCTAGTGATGATGCACTGGGGTAAACATTGGGCTGCTAACCACAAGGTCAACAGTTCAGATCCATCATCTGCTGGATGAGAGAAAGATAAGGCTGTCTGCTCTCAACAAGATTTATAATCTAAGATACCCTAAGGAGCAGTCAGTCCTACTGTGTCATATAGGGCCCCTATGAGTCAGAATCAACTAAATGGCAGTGGGTTTGGTTTTGGTGTTGAACAGAAGGAAACCTTTTATGATATCATTGTCTATTTTCACCAATTCATAAAAGTATAGAGAACAGTGAAGTTGTAATTCATTAAATTTCATAGAAAATTGGCAGTAGTGATGTGCAATTTTATTTAGTTACTGATATTTCTCCCTTGGAAAAGGAAATGTTGTTATCATCAGGGCAGGGTAAGAAAAGTAAGCATTGGAAAACTACTTCTGCAATCTTTTCCTGAAAGGGAAAGCAGAGAAATCATAAAATTAAACTTAGAGATAAAGCCACAAAAGGCTGAATCAGGAAGATTCAGGAAGAACTCAAATTGATCTGTTACCTTAGGAATAACTATTCATTTACCATCAATTCAAATTTCCAATAAATTGTCTTTTAGTATCTGAGATTGTTTTTTGATCTGTAATGTGTAGCAAATGCTATCATTTAGTGGTTTTGTCTATACTTTTTGGGGCTAGACAGTGTAGGTTCATATCTAAGCCTCACAGTTACCTTTGTGACAGTGGGCAAGTTACTTTGTCTCTTTCATCTTGTGTAAAATGTTAGGATAATAGGACTTTCTTCATAGAAACATGGTGTGATGAAAGGAACCACCATACCACCACCATCATCCCACACCAGCACCCAACCACACCCCCAATCACCACCACCACCATCACCACACCACCACCATTACCACCGCTAGCACTACACCATCACCACCCCATAGCCATACCACCAACATCATAACAGTTGACATTAATATGATACATGCAGCAATGGTTCTCACATAAACATATTCAGTAGATCTTAGCTGCTCCTGCTTCCAATTGCCTGCCATAATTTGTGTGTGTGTGTGATCCAAAATACCTATCATTTTTCTCCTTTCCCCATGTCTGGGTTCTTAATTTCCTAATTATCCTCTTGTCACTTAACAATGAAATTTAAGATTTGGTTTTAAACTAGCCTATGTACTTAACTAAGCTTTTTATTGTGAATGCTTCTATTATATGATTTTTTCCTTGTTTTTAATGATTTTTATCCTCAAATGAGATCATTTGTCAGAATCCTTTCAATGCCAGGTCAAATGTGTCAGGAGATGTTTTCTAATTTCTTCCTCTCATCCCTCTTGTGTTTGAGGGAATCAGTGTATCCTCTATGTGCACATAATAGTATATTTCCCCTCCCTGAATTTCTTATGTTCATTGTATCTTATCCCCACTAGGATACAAAGTTTTGAGATCAGAGACCAGGTCACCTGATAGCTGTATTTCTTAGGTTCTTAACAAATGAGATTAATGATATTATTTGTAAAGATGATGAATAATTTTAGATTTTTAAAATCTGTTTTCTAGATTCAATATAAGACACCTCAAGCTATAGGAGAAGTATATTTTACAGAAACCTTTGATACTGGAAGGTTGGCTGGGTGAGTATTCATTCAAGAAAATATCTTCCTCAATTTGATTAGTTTTTAGAGTTACGGATTATTGGCTTACTGAAAATTGCTTCTACTATAGAACCATAAAAAATTTAAAGTCCTTTATTAGCATTATAAACTGGTATGTTAATAATTGGTGAGAATATAATACAACTAGTATTGAATGACCTGTTCCATTCAAATAGTTATTCATTTACACAAAAACAATCTACAAACAAATGCTGGATATAAAGAAAAAGACATATTTTTCATTCTCTAGGACAGATATTAACAAACTAATTTCATGTGACAAAGATGAGGTACTATGCCATCTTAAATAATGGTAAAACTAAGATCATTATGCCAGTCACCATCCTAAATAGGTTGGTAAGTCCTATCTTTATCCCTGTCTTATAGATGAGGAGACTGAGGCTTACTATGCTTTGCCTGTGATCATGTACCTGAAGGCTTCAAATCTGATTTAACTCTAACCTTGTAGGTTATGTAAAGATAGCCTTATTTAATCTCTAAACAATCATTTTGTTTTGAAGAAAAGTGAATGTGTTGTGTTGTCTTTTGTTGTGTTTCTATTATATATTGTATCTGTAAATTACTAGCATTGTTTCTAATGGTTTGCATTTCATTTCAATTTTACTTATAGGTGGGTCTTATCGAAGGCAAAGAAAGATGATACTGATGCTGAGATTTCTATATATGATGGTAAAATATTCATTTAAATATTAGATATAACCAATATGACACAGAATTCGCTAGCCATTGGGTTTATTTGTTGTTGTTAAGTGCTGTCGAGTCAGTTCAGACCCATAGTGACCCTGTATACAGTTTCCTAAGAGTGGCTGGTGAACTTGAACCGCTAATCTTTCGGTTCAAACTGACTTTGCAGTTCAGCACATTAACCCATGAGTCCATCAAACTGTATTTGGCCTGAAGCCCCATCCTGCTTCACAACAGAATGTTCAATCTTTTATTTTGTCTCCTCACTACTATTTCTGGATTCCCCTGATACTCTACATTTCACATAATTCCGTTTTTTAACTGCACAGCTGAATTTTTATTCCACTGCAGTTAGACTCATGCATTTTCCTAAATCAGTACTTCTCAGGCTACTGCTCTTTTCTATTTTTACTATTTCATCTCTAGCGTTGGCATAACCAAGCTATATATCTATGGTGAGATTTTTCTAGTGGTTTGGGAACTCTCAAAGGTAAGTACAAGACATAGTAAGTAATTGTTATTATAACTAATTGAGACTGTCACAACTGTAAAGGTAGAAATTTTTCATTGAAAAGGGGGGAGTAGTTACTCATATAGTACAGGAACAGAGGACCCTAGAACCATCAAGGAAGAAGAGCACAAGTAGAATGCGGGACTCTATCCAGAGAAGCAGTGACACCAGAGACGGAGGCAGAGATGGGGACATGGAGAGATAGAGCAGCTGAGGACTCCAGACTCATGGAAAGAGAAAGGCTGTGTGCTGGCTGCCAGGAGGCAGGCTTGCAGAATGTACTCTTTGGGTGTTTAAGTGATTACATATACCTGAGTGCCTGAGTGTTTTTGTGTACATCCAAAAAAAACAGAGGGTATAGAAGCAAATGCTGTTGAATGATGACGCACAGAAGAGGAGATTGTAATCATTGCAATGTTGCAATGCAATGAACTACAACAGGATAAGTATTAAACCGATGGTCTCCATATAAAACTGTCACTCAATTCACAATAAAAACTTAAATAAATAAAGTTTTTGACAACTGCAAAAAAAAAAAAAAAGAAAGAAAAAGGTAAGTACAAGACAGAAAACAAGTTATGAGTGCTACAAGATATATGCCTACTCTTCTGACCTGTATTGATTATCAAAGGGTTGTTTGTTCTGTGTCTATGACAGTGTTCTTTTGGGAGTACATACATAAAGGGGGTTTAAAAAGTCCGTTATCTCTTAATCCCATTTTTTCATGAATTTGTTGAAGTTCCCTCATATAAGCTTGGGAATTTGCTGGGATAGAGAACACTGCAAAGAAAGACCTGCAAGCAAATCTATATATTTTTTTAGACTAAATCAGAAGCTGTGAAAAGGAACTAGACAGCTGGCATTGTACACTTGCTGTGTTATATGTGTGTGGCACTGTAGGATAAGCATTCAGCCACAAGATCTGTTTGAATCCCAAGGTTGGTGGCTCAAACCCACTCGTTGCCTCTTGGAAACCCTAAACAGGGTCCAGGGTCACTGTGAGTTTGAGCCAACTCACAGGCACTTAATAACAACAGCAACATTGTTATTCTAAAGTAACTACCTGAGGGGTCTGAAGTGAGCTCATACCCTTAAGGGTGGGTATATGTTGTTGTCAAGTGCCATGAGTTGATTCCAACTCATATTATGGTTAAAGGAAATTCCCATCACCAGTCTTTAGAAGAAACGGATCTTATTTCAGGATGTAATAATTGAGGAGGTGTTGTGGGTTACTGTGCTGGACTGCAAAGTTGGTTTTAACCATAAGATCAGCGGTTCAGGCTCACCAGCTGCTCCTAGTAAACTGTATACAGGGTCTCTATAGGTCTGAACCAACTCAATGGCACTTAACAACAAAGTATTCTTGGTATTCGCTATAGGATAAGCACTCAACCACAAGGTCGGTTTGAACCACAAGGTTGGTGGTTCAAGCCCACCAGCTGCTCCGCAGAAACCCTACACAGGGTCAGTATGAGTCAAGTCACTATGACTTGATGGCACTTAACAACAACAACAACAGAAGGATATCCAGAGAAATATGCATAATCAAATAGAATGCTTGACTTAAAATATTGATGTTTAGGTTACTTACATATTTTTGACCAACAACACTGGGTAGATACTTGCTGTACAGTTTTGTGCTAGAAGAATTCATCCATGTAATATCCCTAAAACTAATATATATCACAGGTGGTCTATATATCACAGGTGAATTTAAGTCTATATCTTGCTAGACAAAAATGGCTTTTAGAATTTAATCAAATTATTTCCCCCACCTTAAGATAAAAATCAAACAAGCAAGCGAAAAAACAGCATTCAAGTTTGGTCTGTCATCTTGAATGTCCAAGTAAATAATTTTCTAGCATATTAGCTGTGATTTCTAACTGACAGTTTTCATTTCTTACAACAACTTTGAAAGAGATGCTGTTATTGTTGTTGTTGTTAAGTGCTGTTGATTCGGTTCTGACTCATAGCAACCCTGGATATATAGGGTTTCCGAGGAGCGGCTGGTGAGCCTGAACCGATGACCTAGAAGTTCAAACAGATCTTGCAATCCAGCGCATTAACCTACACCAGGGCTCCTTGAATGAACTCTAATTTCCACCTTTTGAAAATGGCGGTTTGGGTATTGTTGCATTTGGGTACATTATGGTTAGTTGAGAGAAATATCAGATTTGTTTTAAAAAATATTTAGGTTTCACAGTAATTATTCATTGCTTCTGCCAAATACCTCCTGCATAAAATTATCATTAATAGTATTTTTTATTATTTTATGTGCTATTTAGTCAGTTCTGACTCATAGCAACCCTGTGTAGGGTTTCTGAGGAGTGGCTGGTAGGTTTGAACTACCGACCTTACAGTAAGCAGTCCAGTACTTTTCCTACAATGCCACACCAGAACTCCAAATCTAACAAGGAATATTATATACTGGGGTACAGATAGTACATTTGTTGTTGTTGTTAAGTGCCGTCGAGTCGGTTCCGACCCATAGCCACCCTGTACAGGGTTGCTTTGAGTCAGAACTGACTCCACAGCACATAACAACATTAATCTAAGGGTTGGCAGTTCGAACCCACCATTTGGTGCTGTAGATGAAATTGTGATTTTTCCTATGTGAAGATTACAGCCAAAAAAAAACTATAGAGCAGGTTACTCTGTAACAATTCATGGGGTTGCCATGGGTTGGAATCAACTTGACAGCAATAGGTTTGGGGTTTGGCTACTGTTTAGAGGGCCAAGAAGAATAACATAGTTCTTACGGGTATATTTGCTCTCTTCCTTTTAGAGTTTTATAGTTGCAAGTGCAAGTGTTATTCGACTTTCCAGGTGAATATTCTGTCTCTCCTCTTAATTTTTATTTTAAAAACTAATTGCATTATGACTCTTAGATACAGCTACTAGAAGAGTCTGTGGAAGTTATTAGTATTGTGGTACTGTAGGTATGCACTGGACTGCTAACTGCAAGATTGATGGTTCAAACCCAACAGACACTCCTTGGAAACTCTATACAGGGTCAATATGAGTCTGATGAACTCAGTGGCACTTAACAACAACAGTAGCAGTCCAAGCCACACTGATGGCATTGGCAGAAAATAAGACTTTGAGAATTGATGGATTACCAATTGACATGTTTCAACAAACTGATGCAGCGCTGGAAGTTCTTACTCACCTATGCCAAGAAATTTGGATGAGTGGAAGAGAACCATATTTGTGCCCATTCAAAGAAACATGATCAGTAGAATGTGAAAGTGATTAAACAATATCGTTATTATCAAATGCAAATAAAATTTTGCTAACAGTAGTTTAAAAATGTTTGCAGCCATACATTGACAGAGAACTGCCAGAAATTCAAGCTGGATTCTGAACGAGGGGTGAGGGATACCATTGCTGAGGTCTGATGGATATCAAGGAAAAGATATTTATCTGTGTTTTATTGACTATGCAAAGGCATTTGTGTGAGTCATAACAAATTATGGATAGCATTGCAAAGAATGGGAATTCCAGAACTCTTTCTTATGCTCATGAGGAACCTGTACAGAGACCAATAAGAGGTAGTCATTCGAATAGAACAAGAGCATACTGTATGATTTTAAATCAGGTAAGGTGTATGTCAGTTTTGTATCCTTTCAGCATACCTCTTCAGTCTGTATGATGAGCATACAGACAGAGAAGCTGGATATATGAAGAAAAACGTGGCACCATCTTCCTTGATGGGAAGTCAAGAGGATTTGAAGCTCAATCTTCAGTACAGATTATACCTCAATATAATTTAAATTCAAATATAGGATTTGGATTAGGCAAATATGCTGCAAAAGACCTGTTTGCGCTTGCCCCAGGCCATGATATTTTCAGTCACTTCATATGCTTGTCACATTTGGACAATGAATAAAAAAGACTTCAGAAGAATCTATGCATTTGAATTACTGTGTTGGCAAAGAATGTATATTTTGGACATATTATCAGGAGGGCCCAGTCCCTGGAGAAGGACATCATGCTTGGTAAAGTGGAGGGAGAGCGATAAGTATGAAGGGACCCCCAGTAAGATGGATTGACACAGTGGCAGCAACAATAGAATCAATTATAACAATTGTGAGGATGGGTCAGGCCTGGGCAGTATTCCATTGTGTTGTTCATGAGTTGTTCTGCCACTATGAGTCAGAACCAACTCAACAACACCTAACAACAACATAAGGAAAATATAAATCCTCACAACTGGACTAGTAAGCAGCATCACAATAAATAGGAAAATGCTGAAATTGTCACAATTTTCACTTTGCTTTGACCCACAATCAACAACCATGGAAGCAGTAGTCAAGAAATTAAACTATGTATCACAGTGAACCAATCTGCTACAAAAGACCTCTTGAAAGTGTCAAAAAGCAAAGATGTCATTTTGAGGATGAAGGTGCATCTAACCCAAGCCATAGCATTTTCACTTACGTCAATATGCATGTAAAAGCTGGATGATGAATAAGGAAGACCACAGAAGAATTGATACTTTTGAATTATGGTGCTGGCATCTGTATTATGAATTATTGAATATGCCATACTCTGCCAGGAAGTTGAACAAATCTGTAAATGAAAGAAGTAGTCCAAATGCTCCATGGAAGGGAGAATAATGAGACTTTGTCACATGTACTTTGACTATGTCAGGACGGTCCAGTCCCTGGAAAAGGGCATCAGGCTTGGTAAAGTGGAGGAAGATCCTCAACAAGATGGCTTGATAAAGTGGCTGCAATGATGCCCCAAAAATAGCAACAATTGCAAGATTGACACAGGACCAGACAGTGTTTCAATGGGTTGTGGGATAACTATGAATAAAACCATCTTAACAGCACCTAACAACAAAAACAGAACTTAAATTAGCAGACACTTACCACTCTTAACTACTTTTGTTGATAATTTGAGAAGATGATTAAAAAGTGGGAAAGAATGATTTTTGATGCTTCTAATTGTAGAACAAAAATAGTCTTGACATGGTAAATTATATATAAAGGGCAAAATACAGCTGCTAGAAATAAACGAGATAGAAAAACCGAAAAACTGTAGAAAGGATCAACAGGACAAAAAGCTGGTTCTTTGAAAGGATTAATAAAATTGACAAACCATTGGCAAAACTAACAAAAGAAAAGAGGGAGCGGTCACAGATACCTCACATTAGAAATCACATGGG